GCAGTTTTGATGATTGAAGGTACTCCACTGATTCTTCTAAATGTTTACGGATATAATGGTCAATATAAAAAGAGAATTTTGCTGGAATGCATTTCAGAAACTATTAGAGAGTTGAAAACATTTTTCCCAACTGAAAATATGTTGGTGACTTTAATTGTGTCCCTGATGAATGGATGGATAGATTTTCAACAAAATACGGTTATTATGAAATGAATGTATTACAAATGTTTGTATTAATACTTCCCTAATAGACGTTTGGAATCATGTTAACCCTGAAGTAAGGCAATATTCATGGATTAGACCCAATGGAAATTGTAAATCAAGAATAGATTTTTGGTTGGTAACCCAAGAAATTTTTAAATATGTTTTGCAAGCTAAAATCTCTGCAGCTCCTACAACTGATCATTGTGTAATTACTGTCACACTGATCCCAGGCTCTGAAAGAACATGTAGGCAAAAATATTGGAAATTTAATGCAAACTTGTTAAAAGAAGAATATTTTTGTGACATAGTTAAAAAAATCTTATATTCAATCATGACAAATGATGAGATAAAGTGAGAATGTACTCAATTAATTATGGTAAAATATTGTGTAATAAGCAAAAATAATTAGAAAAACAGCCGATAAAAGACATTAATGATTGTTGTAAAAAGGATTTATCATTAGAACCTAATAAAGAGGAAATGATTAGATTACAAACTAAATTAGACGATTTCTACTTAAATAGGGCACAAGGGGCATATATACGATCTAGAGCAAAATGGATGGAAGTTGGTGTAAAAAACAGCTCTTATTTTAGTAGATTAGAAAAAAGTAGACAGAAATGCAATTACCACCTTAAATCCAAATAATAAAATTGTAACTGATCCAAAAGAAATAAGTAATGAGATTTTTAAACTTTATCAAAGCCTATATTCATCATCATTTTCCATGAAAGATTCTGAGAATTTCTTCAAAAATTCTATAATTTTATTCCTAAAATTGATGAAGATTTTAAAATGATATGTGACTCTGATTTATAAATTGAAGAACTTGATGCTGCTATTAAAAAAATGGCTTTAGGTAAATCACCAGGTCAAGATGGACTTGCAACTAACTTTTATCTTTTTTCTGGAATGATATGAGAGAAATGCTCTTTAAAGCACTAAAAGAATGTTTAGAAAGTCATACACTACTAACTACAATGAAACAGGCTATAATTATTTTAATACCTAAACCAAAAAAGACAACACTCTTATTGATAATTTAAGACCAATTACTTTACTTAACATTGATTACAAAATATTCACTCATGCATTAGCTACTAGACTTAAAGGTGGTATAGGTAAAATTATTAGTGATACACAATCTGGGTTTCTTCCAAATCGACTAATACATAATAACATTCGCATGGTGTTAGATTTATTAGACTATTCACATTTGATAGAGGATGATGGTATAATACTATTTCTGGATTTTCTAAAAGCTTTTGATAAACTTGAACACCCTTTTGTTTTTCAGTCTCAACAATATTTTGGGTTTGGGACAAAATGTATTAATATTCTTTCAATGTTGACAATATAACAAATAACAAGTGTTGTTTTACTTCAATCGGGTACTACAAAGAGATTTGATATCAGAAGGGGAATACGACAGGGAGATCCAGTCAGCCCCCTTCTTTCTTACTTGCTGCCGAATTATTAGCACTGTATATTAAAAATATTAAGCCATTAAAAGTAGATCCTTGTTAATTACACAACTAGCTGATGATACAACTTGATTTCTGAAGGACTCTAATCAAATACCGATTGCCTTAAAGTCTATATCATTGTTTTCTAATGCTTCAGGGTTACATTTAAATTTGAAAAAATGTGAGATTCTAACTCTTCACAATAATACATAAAATTCATTGTATAATATCCCAATTAAAAGCTAAATAACATACTTGGGAATAACTATTACAAAAAGTTTTAGGGACAGGGAAAATAATAATACTCATACTGTTGTAAAGAAAAATAAAAAAACATTAAGTAGCCGGTTACAAAGAAATATTTCAATTTTGGGGAGAATATTATTAACAAAAATGGAAGCAATATCAAGATTAATCTATCCAGCATTTTCCTTAGGTGTAACAGAAATATGTATTAAACAAATTAACAGAGTTCATTATGAGTTTATTTGGAACAATAAGCAACATTTAATTCGAAAAAATGATTTGGTAAAGTTATCAGAGGAAGGGGGGTTGAATGCTATTGATTTTGGCGTTATAAATGGAGTAATGAAGTTAAAATGGTTACAAAGCTTTGTTAAAGGTGAACCGTCTTTATGGTTTAGCATCCCTTTTCATATTTTTCAAAGGATGGGAGGAATTTCTTTTTTTCTAAAATGTGATTTTGACTTACTAAAATTGCCATTTAAATTGTCTGGTTTTCATGCAGAAGTGTTACTATATTGGAAGATGTTGTACAAGCACAATTTTACTCCACATAATGTTATCATTTGGAATAACAGGTGTGTTTTTCTACATGACAGGAAATCTTTATTTTTTAAAGACTGGTTTGACAAAGGAATTAAATGTAATTCATTTAATGGATGATGATGGTAATATGTTGAGCTATGATCATTTTAGGTTAAAATTCAATTTTAATTGTGCATATAGAGAATTCTCTTTGGTTGTCAAAGCTATTAATGTGGCTTTGAGGAACTTAGTTAAAGGTATAGTGCAATACTCCTCTGTAATACCTACACTAGTTGATTTGTTTATAAATAATTATTCATTTTTGGATATTAAACGTAACAACAAGGTCTTGAGATCACTACTGACAAAAGAATATTTTCCTCTTCCTGTTAAAAGAAAAGTTTTATCTGAGAGATTTTCTAAAGCGGACACTATTGATATTAGAAAAAGATACCTGTCATTTCCCTTGTTACCTAAAATGAACGAAGTACATTTCAAAACAATTAATGACATCTATCCATGTAACAAATTTCTTAGAATAAGATTTCATTTAGACAGTAATGCTTGTATTTTTTGCTTGAAAGATATAGAATCCCATGAACATCTTTTTTATAGTTGTTCCAGTGTCAAATCCTTTTGGGACAGATTGTATTAGTGGTTGATAACTAAAAATGTAACACCTGCGTTTGACTATCACATTGTGAAATTTGGCATTTTTATGAAAAACAAGGAAGTTGAATTTTTATGTAATAATATGTTGATTGTAGCAAAATTTTATATACACAAATGTAGATTTGTTAAAGTTTCTCCTTGTTTCAAAGCATTTACAAATGATTTCAATATGTTATATAAATCTATAAAACAAGTAAAAACAAAAGGTGCCTTAAAGCTCTCTAAGCTTTTGTCAACATATATGGACTGACCCCTCTGAATGTAATGTATTTTCTTTTGTATTATTTAAGGTTAATTTTTATGTTATTATTAATTTGTACTGTTTTGTTTATTATATGCTGCTTGGATATAATGATATATATGTTTAACGATGGAAGTTGAAAATGCCTGTGTGTTATTTGAAGTTTAAATTAAAAAAAAAAAAAAGTTCGTCAAGAGAATAATAAAATACGAGATTGCTAGAATATAAATGTGTCACTGTGGTAATGGATATACACAATTTATCAATATATATAAACATGTAGCCTATCAAAAAATAGAAGTGCAAGTGACTGATGATATTTTAAGCATGAGGATTAAAATATCAGCCATACTTAATAGTGACGAGTCCAACCATTCATTTATACATTCATTAAAGAATTTAAGCATACAAAATGTCAACCTCAACACTGTCAGTGAAACATATACACACGCACGCAGTACAATAAAGAATGAATGAATAAATTAGGAGCAAAAATATTATGTCAATAGAAAAAAAAGCATGCATCCAAAATCAAAAGAATGCTGAGTTTATACGAAGAACGAAACCGGCAAAAATAAATAAATAAATAAATGAATAAATACGCAAAAAAAAAGAAAAAAATACAAATAAAAGACAAAGTAAATAAATACATAAATTCATACATAAATAAAAAATTAATAAATACGCAAATATATAACGAAATTGAAGAATAAATCCATACATTTCTGCAAAAATAAAATAAAATAAAGAATAACAAAATATGCGCATATATACATAAATAAGCATTGAAATCTATAAATTCCTGTATAAATAAAAAAATTAATAAATAAATACGCAAATAAATAAATAAGTAAATAAATCCATAAATGCAGGCATAAATATTTTTTTTATAAATAAATTAATACGACTGATAAATAAACAAATAAAAAAAATGTCTTCATAAATAAAAATGAATAAAAACGAAAATATATAAATAAATAAGTAAATAAATTCTGCATAAATAAAACAAAGCATAAATAAACAAGAAAATATAAATTACTACATAAATAAAACATTAAATAAATAAAAAAAGCAATTATAAAAATAAATGAGTAAAAAAGTTCACAATTTCCTGCATAAATAAAGCAAATAAATATGCAATGTATTTATTTATTGTTTTATTTATGCAGGAATTTATGAATTTATTTATTCATTTATTTATTTATTTGTTTACTTATTTATTTATAGTTTTTGAAGGTTTCGTCCTCTATAGGTTTTTTTTTTCCTAGGGTGCGAATATCCATGTTGCAGATGCAGATAGATAATGATAAATTGATTGATAAATTGTGCAAAAGGAATAATAACGAAGTAAATAGAAGTGTCTAGCATTTTACAATCCTATATTAAAGAGATTCAGACGTTTTAAATCATTTGGTAAATTTAGGTCCATTCGAATTTTGTTATAAATAAATATATGTAATATAATGTATAATAGTGAAAGTAAAATAGTGAAAAACAAATGTTTTTAATGATTTTTTATTGTTACAACTGTTTATTTGAATTCATTTCGAGTTTTAGTTTGTTGTAAAACTGACGCAGAATTAATTTCATGAAGGCGTAACGCTGGTCTATGTTTTACAAGTTTAGCCTGTTAACCGCGCAGCCGCTTGCATACAGGCTATGAGTATGTGTGATCAGTTATTGATTGATTATAAGGCATATACTTTATGCAAAAACAATATGGCACTTTCAAATGGCCACAGAAACGCTCCACAGAAACGGCCCAGCCTGCGTCACATTTAGAATTGAATGTGAATGTTCGAAACGGTGACATCATAGCTAAGAGAATGCGAATGCAACTCTGACTTTGGCATTCTGCGGTTAAACTAGTTGAGCGATGGGTCAACGTAATTGTCGTTGCAAAAAGGCAAACAATGATTTTGAGCGTGTGTACGTTTACCATCACGATGCACCGCCACAGCTCACCAATTTGGTGGAAGCTCATAAACATCCTGTTGGCGTAGGTGAAGATAGTGCGAGTGAGGGGAAAAATAAAAAGAGAAAGGAGGCCAACCGTAAAAAGAAAAGAAGGTTCAAGTTGTGGCGGTGGTTCTCCTGTCTGAGAGCTGCTGAAAAAAATAGTACACTTCAGGTTGATGGAGAGGCTCAGGACACTGGGGCAACTGCAGCACCACCTGAAGTACAACCTTCCTCCTCTTCAGGTGACGGATCTCTACAGCAGGTCATTCATACTATAGACCTCAATCTTCAGGAACCTTCAGCCAGTGACCCTGAAGTCTATCCAACAGTAAAGAAACATCTTACTGTTCAACCTGATGTCCTCCGTTCTCCAGTTCTGAGCAGCAATACTGCTCAGACTTCATTCGACTGGAAATTTGACATCAGCCAGACTCCATTGCTTAGTCCTGACTATTGTGATGAAGCCGAAAGCTTAGCTCACACCTTATCTGACTGGAGCATTGATTCTGGCCTGGCTCTAGCACGCACCACATCAAGGTGGAGCAATGATTTCACTAAGACTTCAGCACACACCATGTCAGATTGGAGCATTGATAAGATCAAAACACCAACACGCACCACATCAGATTGGAGTACTGACGCTACCCGGACTCCGGTACACAAAGTGTCAGTCTGGAGTATTGATGTCACCCAGCCTCCATTTCACTCATCCACTTCTGATTGTTGTAACAATGCCACTGAGATTCCAGTCCCCGATGCTTCCGAGGGGAGTGCCAATTTCCCTCAGATTTCACAGCACACAACGTCAGACTGGAGCATCAATGGTGGTCAAACTCCAGTCTGCACACAGGCCTCTGTTTCAAAACAAATAGAGAATAATGGAAAGATGACAAGTCAGGGTAAGTTGACTGTCCCTTAAACACACACACACACACACACACACACACACACACACACACACACACACACACACACACACACACACACACACACACACACACACACCTGCACTACTATATCAGGCCATTTTAATGTTTCCATTTGTGACCCTGGACCACAAAACCAGTCTTAAGTTGCACAAGATACATTTTTGGCAATAGGTAAAACTAAAGCTTATTTATTCAACATTCAGACCTCATTTTCAAAAAATGTACACTGATTAAGTAAAACATTTTGTCCTGTTTTACACTGGTTGATATTTCATATTACTTAACCTTGGTTTTGTTTTAATAGTCATCAATTCTTGCCACTATCTGATCGATGACATGCTGGGTGAAGGATCCTTTGGAACTGTGTACAAGGGGCGACGTCTACACGATGACTTAAAGGTGCCTTTCATTTTCCTGGATAGGATAAATAGTAACAAATACAATATGTTAGCTGTACAATCATTCTTACATACACTTTGCTTATTTCTTGTTTATTAGGTGGCAGTGAAATTTGTCACAAAGACGGAAGATGTGGAATACATACGTATCATAAGTGATTTCTCATAAGACAAGCTACTGTTGTCGAAATTTTGTGAAATTATGATTCAATTCATAATCTATAAAATATATATCTATCTAAACATCATAAAAAATGTATTTCCTGTAGTCGGGTCATTCAGAGCCCTTTCCTCTTGAAGTTGCACTTCTCATCCTCGCCCATGGAGTATCCAGCGTTCCAGAAATAATCCAGCTTCTGGACTGGCAGGACCAGGAGGACCATTATATAATGGTGTTGGAATACCCTTCACCCTGTGAGGACCTATATGCTTTCACAGAAAGCTATGGAGGATCCATAAGTGAAGGTTTAGCGCGTGTTGTTATGCAGCAGGCAACTCAAGCTGCATACATGTGCTGCCGCAATGGTGTTCTACATCGCGATATCAAACTTGAAAATCTACTAATCAACAAGGAGACTCATAAAGTCAAATTAATAGACTTTGGGTGTGGAGACCTTCTCAAGAAATTACCCTACGATACATTTGCCGGTATGTATTAACCCTTAAGCTGTGAAAAACGATATTCTGAATGTATAGCAACAAATGCTAATTGATGCAAAAATCTTTTACCTTTAGGCACCCTTGAGTACTGCCCCCCAGAGTTTGAGGAAACGGGTGAATACAATGGGAAGCCGGCAACAGTCTGGTCCCTTGGCATCCTCTTGTTTGTATTGGTGTGTGAGGACTTTCCCAACCCTCAAGAACTGCACATGATCAATGAGAACAACTTCTCCAAAGCTGGCTTGTCCGATGGTAAGCTCTTTATTTCAAAGACTCTTACATGCAACATCAAAGGAGGTGTGAAGTTCAAGGTAAACAGATGTTTCAACTGTTTTTCACAGAATGCTGTCAGTTGATTAGTTGCTGTCTCCAGCAAAAGCCAGAGCAGCGGATTCAATTAAAAGAGATTCTTCTCCACGAATGGTTCAAGGTATGAAGCCTAAGCAGAGTATTTTGGGAGGGTTAATTCAAACACAAGACTATGGATGTTAGCTTAGAGAATATTAGATTTGGATTGACTTTTGATAAACTAATTGCTGTTTTTATTTTAGGACACCAACCTGGAGAACTGAAGAACAGCCACCCTACATGTTATTGTCTTGAGAGGAACGTTTCAGGCTGTTTGAGGCAGGAAATCTTGAGCAGGAGGTGGCTCTTCTCAAAACAAACAATAAAACATATGCATTAATTGAACTCTTGTGAAGAGTATTATTTGACAAAAACTATTCTAGGAGAGCACATATTTACATAGTACTGTGAATCTTGTTTCTGTCATGTATGATAAGTATGCAATGCATTTCTTGTGTCATGCTATTCTTACAGTTAAAAAGATGACTAGAGGCTGCATATTGACACAATAAATGTGTCAAAAAAGTCACCAACACAAAACAGCTGATGATAAACATCATTTTAAGCTGTAAAATGACATCACATTTCCACTCTGAAAATGAATATTTAAAATAACAGACACTTCCCTGCCACATGTATTTGTTCTTCAGACATCTCACCAAGCAATGAGACGTTCAAATGCTGTCTAATAGACTCTAAACGTCTGGCCAAAAGAAGGCTAAATTTGGGTAGGCAGTGCAAATCTATATGGCTACTTGATGACTTGATTTATAGATAATTATTCATTCATTCATTTTCCTTCGGCTTAGTCCCTTTATTAATCAGGGGTTGCCACAGCGGAAAGATCTGCTAACTTATCCAGTATATGTTTTACACAGCAGATGTCCTTCCAGTCACAACCAAGTAAACTCCTATACACTCACATTCACACACATACACTATGGCTAATTTAGACTGTGGCTTCTTCAATTCAGTTTCCCCTACCTGTACTGTGGGGGAAACTGGAGCACCCGGAGGAAACCCACATGAACATAGAGAGAACATGCAAACTCCACAAAGAAACGCCAAGTGACCCAGCTTGGTCCCGCTAGGAAGCCAGCGACCACCTTGCTGTGCAGCAACAGTGCTAACCACTGAGCCTCCATGCCACCTTATAAGCAGTTAGATGTTTTTCAAACACACACAAAAACGTTTGTTTTTTTTCCCTTCGCAAGTTGAATAACTGTGCATAGGTCAATTCAAACATAATACATCTAGATATGTTTATATCATGTTTACAGTTTTTGGACATTAATACTTAAACAATGACAATATGTGGGCTTGAAATTGCAAATTTTAAAAAAAGTTTTAAATTTTTTATTTTCTGTGCAAATACAAAAAAATTAATAAATAAATTTTTTAAAAAATTGTGAAAATGGCAATGCCATGTGAAAGCAAATCCGAGCAGCAAATCCGGATTTCACAATCTCCAGGGCCCGGTTTTTCAAAAGTAATCCACTAGAATTTTGTATAAGGGATTGGATCAAATCTTGAAAATGGGTTTTTCAAAAGAAAAAACGGATTACATAATCGGATTAGATCACGTAATCTAATCTTGGTTTTGATCCGGATAAAACCTTTACTTTGGGTTTTTCAGACCTTTTTTGTAGGATTTGGATCACTTTGATCCAAAAAACCTGGATTAAACTGATCCCATCAGAAGGGTGGATTTAGCGTGGATTTCATGCCTAAAAGGTAATGAAAACTTAAAAAATTTATTAAACAATACTATTTTTGGATCATGCAGTCTCTTAAGAGATATACTATTTATTCATAAGGTTTTAATTTTATTTGTTCATCTGTCAGGCTATAGTGATTATTGGCTTTAACGTATTTAGCCTTTCTGTATAGGCTTCCAGCAAAGTAGAAAGAGTTTGGCCTCATAAAATAATCCCCCAAACAGCTGTCAAAACTGACCAAAAACAATAAATTTTATTCTGTCACTAATTGATATATATATATATATGTATTCATCACAATGGAAAATATTTTTCTTATTAGAACATTTATTAATGATGATAGCAATGATTACAGAATAAACAAAAAATGCAAGAAATGGCAATGACTGATTTTTGAAATCTCTTTCAACAATTGCAAAAAGAGACTGAAAGGGCAGAAGCACAGCTTCGCCTGGCAGAGGAACAACTGACTCTGACCAAACTGCAGCAAACCAAGGTTAGACTTGAGATCCCCCACCTAAAGGATACGCTTCACATCAGATGAGGAAGTCTGAGATTATTGTGGAGTTTTTGACATTAAGTATTTTTTTTTTATTTACATCTATATTTGAAACTTATTATAAATATCCTCAATGTACAGTGTTTGTGTTGTAGGTCTCAGATGAGCGGACTGCTGGAAAAGGATGGGGTGGGCTTTTTCTTGTTTTTCTTATTTATTATTATTATTAATTTAATATTTATTACATTTTCTTAGTTTTCATTTAAAAAAATAATAAATTATATTGACCCCACGCTGGCTATTCTATTTGTCATTTCCTATCCTGTTTGAGCACTGGTAATCCAGATTTAGTGATCCTGAAAAGTTCCTATCCAGATCAGATTGGTCCAATCCAATGTTGCTTTGAAAAACTGGCTCAAAAAGTAAGCTGGATTACCTGATCACGGATCGCAAAAAACAGAATTACTAAATCTGGATCAATTTGATCCGGATTAAACCTTTTGAAAAACCGGGCCCTGGGCCCGGTTTTTCAAAAGTAATCCACTAGGATTTTGGATAAGGGATTGGATCAAATCTTGAAAATGGGTTTTTCAAAAGAAAAAAACGGATTACCTAATCGGATTAGATCACGTAATCCAATCTTGGTTTTGATCCAGATCAAACCTTTAGTTTGGGTTTTTCAGACCTTTTTTTGTAGGATCTGGATCACTTTGATCCAAAAAACCTGGATTAAACTGATCCCATCAGAAGGGTGGATTTAGCGTGGATTTCATGCCTAAAAGGTAATGAAAACTTAAAAATGTATTAAATAAAACTATTTTTGGATCATGCAGTATCTTGCGAGATATACTATTTATTAATAAGGTTTTAATTTTATTTGTTCATCTGTCAGGCTATAGTGATTATAGGCTTTAACGTATTCAGCCTTTCAGTATAGGCCTACAGCAAAGTAGAAAGAGTTTGGCCTCATAAAATAATCCCCCAAACAGCTGTCAAAACTGACCAAAAACAATAAAAAAAATTTGTGTCACTAATTGATATATATATATATATATATATATATATATATATATATATATATATATATATATATATATATATATATATATATATATATATATATATATATATATATATATATTCATCACAATAGAAAATATTTTTCTTTTTAGAATATTTATGTGTGATGCATGCAATGATTACAGAATAACCAAAAATAAAAATGCAAAGAATGGCAATGACTTTAGATTTCTCTTTCAACAATTGCAAAAAGAGACTGAAAGGGCAGAAGTTCAGCTTCATCTGGCAGAGAACAACTGACTCTGACCAAACTGCAGCAAACCAAGGCCAGACTTGAGATCTGCCTCCTAAAGGCTTTGCTCAACAAGCTGGTCTCTCCACATCAGATGAGGAAGTCTGAAATAATTGTGGAGTTTTTGACATTAAGTCTTTTTTATTTACATTTGAATTTGAAACTTATTATAAATATCCTCAATGTACAATGTTGTAGGTCTCAGATAAGCGGACTGCTGGAAGAGGATGGGGTGGGGTTATTCTTGTTTTTATTATTTATTATTATTATTATGATTATTTTATTATTTATTAAATTTTCTTAGTTTTCATTTCAAATAAAAATAAAGTTATATTGACCCCACACTGGCTATTATTTTTTGCTCTTTACACAGGCCTGTCTATCTACATTGTGATTTTGATCTATTTGATCCGGATGAAACCTTTTGAAAAACCGGGCCCAGGGCCCGGTTTTTCAAAAGGTTTAATCCGGATCAAATTGATCCAGATTTAGTGATTCTGTTTTTGCGATCCGTGATCACGTAATCCAGCTTACTTTTTGAGCCAGTTTTTCAAAGCAACATTGGATTGGATCAATCTGATCTGGATAGGAACTTTCCAGGATCACTAAATCTGGATTACCAGTGCTCAAACAGGATAGGAAATCACAATGTAGAACTATAGATATGTAAAGAGCGACAAGTAGAATAGCCAGCGTGGGGTCAATATAATTTTTTTTTTAAATGAAAGCTAAGAAAATGTAATAAATATTAAATTAATAATAATAATAAATAAGAAAAACAAGAAAAAGCCCACCCCATCCTTTTCCAGCAGTCCGCTCATCTGAGACCTACAACACAAACACTGTACATTGAGGATATTTATAATAAGTTTCCAATATAGATGTAAATAAAAAAAATACTTAATGTCAAAAACTCCACAATAATCTCAGACTTCCTCATCTGATGTGAAGCGTATCCTTTAGGTGGGGGATCTCAAGTCTGGCTTTGGTTTGCTGCAGTTTGGTCAGAGTCAGTTGTTCCTCTGCCAGGCGAAGCTGTGCTTCTGCCCTTTCAGTCTCTTTTTGCAATTGTTGAAAGAGATTTCAAAAATCAGTCATTGATATTTCTTGCATTTTTTGTTTATTCTGTAATCATTGCTATCATCATTAATAAATATTCTAATAAGAAAAATATTTTCCATTGTGATGAATACATATATATATATATATATATATATATATATATATATATATATATATATATCAATTAGTGACAGAATAAAATTGATTGTTTTTGGTCAGTTTTGACAGCTGTTTGGGGGATTATTTTATAAGGCCAAACTCTTTCTACTTTGCTGGAGGCCTATACAGAAAGGCTAAATACGTTAAAGCCAATAATCACTATAGCCTGACAGATGAACAAATAAAATTAAAACCTTATTAATAAATAGTATATCTCGTAAGATACTGCATGATCCAAAAATAGTATTGTTTAATAAATTTTTTAAGTTTTCATTACATTTTAGGCATGAAATCCACGCTAAATCTACCCTTCTGATGGGATCAGTTTAATCCATGTTTTTTGGATCACAGTGATCCAGATCCTACAAAAAAGGTCCGACAAACCCAAACTAAAGGTTTGATCCGGATCAAAACCAAGATTGGATTACGTGATCTAATCCAATTATGTAATCCGTTTTTTCTTTTGAAAAACCCATTTTCAAGATTTGATCCAATCCCTTATCCAAAATCCTAGTGGATTACTTTTGAAAAACCGGGCCCAGGGCCCGGG